GTTGGCTAGATTTTCAATTCTAGCTAGATTGAATTCAGCCACTATCTGAAGGAGGATTTTAGTGGCTGACTACTCTGATTGGTAGTTTCTTATGGTTTCTCCAATCAACACCAGGTGAATGTCAGAGCAGTACTCCAACAAGCAGGCTACAGGCCACATGATCTTTCTCTACTCTTCCTTGTTCTATCCCCTCCCCAGCCAGGATCTCACCATCCAGCAGAGGAAGATCCACGACACTTCCTGTGGTAAAACATGCACTACACTTACAGCACTAATGATCATATCAGTTGGCATGCCAGAAACATGAAAGAATAAAATAATGACTTCTGAATGAAAGCACAATGAGGAAAAATGACCTAAAAGCAATTAATGAAGTAGTTATACAAAGAGTGAAAGATAAGGTTGGAGACAATCCTGTTTGTTGAATTCCGGATAAAACAACAAACAGAATTGCTTACTTGAAGGGCAGTTCTAAACATTGTGTTACCTTTGACAGGAGAATGAGAAAAGTAAATTCTCATGCAATGTTTCAGTAAACTGTGATCCTCAGGGCTCCATGCAACAAAATATGGGAAGTTGTGGCCGATCAAGTTATTTTTATCTGTTAATTAACTAATTTCATCTCTAATATAAACAGTACCACCACAAACTGATAAGCATTAGTGATGTGTCTGCCTCTAAAACTTTGTACGTATAACAAAATTAAACTAAATTAAGTTCATTATGTTACGCATTCAGAATTCTATCAAATTCGGTCAGCCTTTATGCAGCTCGTTGCAAGTATTTTGCAAATGTACATTCCCGCCTGAGATACGGTATAAAATTCTGGGGAAACTCATGTAGTACTCAGACCTGTAGATTGCAAAACAAAATTATTCGAATAATGAAAAAATTCCATCCGTGTTACCCTTGCAAGCCTCTCTTCATTGAGCTTGGAATCTTACCACTGCCTTGCCTATATGTTTACGAATTTGTAATATTTGTCAAAAGTGACTTAATAAATCATGTTCATCAAGTGTCAGTATCAACAGCTCACTATCAGAAATCCAGATGCAATACATGTATGTTACTTTATAACGCACTGCCAGATGACACTAAACAATTGAAGTCAGTTCACAAATTTAAGTTACAAAATCTTTTCTGCTGCATAACTGTTTCTATACAATTAGAGACTATTCTGATTATAAATAGAAAAATAATGTTCATTTTAACAAAACAGTAATATATAATGAGTTAGTTTACATTTGTATTGTATACATTTTTTTAAAATTTGTATTGTAAAAATTGAATATGTTTGTAACAAATAATGTAATTGAGCATCCGGGTCAATGACCCCCCATATTGATCAGGTTTTTGTCTAGTTTCCCTGATCCATTGAGCAAATGCTGAGATGACCCCTTGTTTTGCTTCTGGACGTAAATATAACTTCACTATGCACATGTTTTGTTGAACTCTCCTTTTGCTGTAATGGTAGGATGGTAAGAGCCAGTTGCTATTTTTCTAGCTATGCAGAAAAATTATACTTGCAATCGTGTACGCAGATGCAATAAGTTTCTATTATACTCGGAAATGAAAAAATACTATTTTTTAAAATATTGCCAATCTTGCGACTTTTAAAATTTATATTTTTATTATTAATGTTAAAAACGTTTACTATCTTTCAACTACTTAATCAGTTAAAATGATGGGAAGGGATTCTGGAACTCAAGAAAACATGCGCAGATAATCTTTTCCACCCTATGTCACATACAGGTTTTTACTGTTTTTTGACTAAATAAATATAAATATAAATAAAAATGATTTCCAACATTTTCTTAAAAATGTTCACAAAATTTGAGATCAATGAGATTGGACAATAATTCATAGCTTTATCTTCAACCTCACTTTTGAGGATAGCTATTTACTTCAGCTTTTTAAAAATGATTAGGAAAGTTTCCAGTTTCCTTTATTAAGTTAAACATATGAGTTAGTGTATTGCAAAATATACATGTATATTTTGCAATACATTTAATTACTCTTGTAGAAATATTCATTTATACCAGCTGATTTTGTAGTATTTAAAGTGTTAACAATATTTTTGTCCACGTTTATGAAAGGAATAGAAATAAGGAATCCGCAATAATATCATATTCATTTTGAGCATTATTAGAAGTAGCAATCTCAATTTTATCTGCGATTTTTTGGCCCTATTTCTACAAAAACATATTAAAAAAAATTAATAATTTAAATAAAATGTATTTAAAGGAAAATGGAACATTATATTTCAAATTGAAAGTATATTTTAACCAAATATCCACAAATTGATGACAAGAAAGCTTGAAATGTGTAGATTTGCGTAGGCATGTCGTATCACTTTCACAAATAATTCCCCAAAAATAGTCTCCCATCATGTATTCATTGTAGATTTCCTGATAGAGACATTCAAAATGATGAAAGCTCTCCTTGCTCCTCGGAACAGGCACCCACATTCTCTTTGAAGCTATCAAGAATATGTATTTTGAAAGACATCCTGCAGCCCATTTTTGTGTAATTTTTAACCAGAGTCTCAACCAATTCACTGTAGTTCTCAGCTTTATGATTTCCAAACTACTTTAACAAAACTGCTGAGGATTAGGAATATGAAGTTCAGAACCATGTGGCACAGGAGCAATGGATGATGATATGTTGGGATAAATTACTGCAGGTGCTTTCTTATCAATTTGTCATTTACAAGGGTCCACCATGCAGAAGTAGCAGTTTGTAGAATGGTCCATGGGTTCTTGCCGAATTCTTGGATTATAGAATTCAATAGCCCTCTTTTCTCCCTTCTTCTATCCCTCCAGTGTTCTTATAGGTCGCACAAGTTACATGTGGAGCCCAGGACATCCCAAACACATCCCTTGTACACTTTACACATCTTCACTAGTGATAAGATGGGGAATTTTCCCCACTCATTGTAATAAGTTCCCCACAAATAAAACAGAAGGCATCTGCTGGATACTAGCAACCTGTATTTTATGCGAAATGGCACACGAGTGCTTTGACAGTTTCCCATAAGATACTGTGCTAATCTACAACATGTAGCTTAACACATCAACATAACTTTCATATAGCACAGTATATTAAAGTATTAGTTTAGAAAGCACCATTTCCTTTTCTCAGTGTAATTATGCTGATTCTTCCATGTGTAGTATGATCAAGGATAAGAACCTTTTTTTTTGTATATTGGAGAATTTATTGTAAAACATTGAAAAATTAAACGTCATCTACAATATTTGTATTTTGACTCTAACAGGATGAAACAGAAATCAAAAGTAAGATAAAGACCTAAAAAAAAATTAAGAAAATGATAAGCCAAAACTAGAAAAAAAATGGTGATGTTGGGAGAAATAGTAAGAAGGGGATACCCTTTGTTATCTGATGCTGCAGGACCCTCCCAAGTCTCCAATTACAGCCCTGTGCCCATGGACCAAAGAGGAAGAAGAATTTCCCTGTTCTATAACGAGCTTTTTAAGAGTAAACCAGGTCCTATAACATCTCTGTTGACTTCATTAGAGGACGATGATTGTGTGGTATATGCAACGCAAAGTTGAACATGGCTAAATAACAAGATCTCAAGATTAAGAATGCTATCAATTTACAAATCACCTTTTGTTAATAGCTAATTTACATAAAATCTGTTCAGTGGATGCATCTATGCAGTACGCAGTATTGCATCATTTTCTACATACTAACTGCTTATAAAATCAAAAGTTGTTTTTGCAGCTATTCTGTTTTATATAGCACCAACACCACTCCTCTGTGTTCATATGATCCAAAGACCGTACATCAGAAGTTCAGAATCCAGGAAATACCTTTTAGATAAGTCCAGAAGCTCTTCAAAAACACTAAAAAGAAATTTTTGGCTTAAAATAAATATTTATTCTTTCCCTAACTTTCGTTCACGGATTTTTGGCACTAAAATCCTTGTTTAAGGTTCTTTTGAGCTGTAACTTCACATACACATTAGCATACGCATTCTAGTGCTGTTTCAAAGATAGTGAAGGTGCAATTTTAGATCCGAAATTGGATGTCTAGAGGGATGATAAATACATCAGGAGTCAGATCTGGTTGCACCATTCCAGCTTGGGATCATTAATATACTTCAATTTTTGGGTTTACCTTACATGAAACTTGGTGATAGTTTCAAAATTTTCTGAAAAATTACTGCAATTTTTTTAAACAATTTTCTTGAAATGGATATTAATGCATTAATAAATGTGGTTACATGGTCAATTTTCATTAAAATCACTAAATATTTTAAAATTGCAAAATGTGAAAAAATGTTCAAGCTTGCCCTACATCTCCAATATCATAGCCAGAGATTTTTTTTCTAAATTTCAATACTACACATACACCACGCAGATGTCAGTCCCCTCTCCCCCCCTCCCCCCCGGCCCCACCGGCGCTTGCACAGGTTTCCTCTTCTTTCCTTCTTCCCAAAAATTTGTACATACTCTGTGAATTATGGTTTATAATTATGTTAATTGCATTCAGTGTATGACACTATAACATTAACATCTAATTAAGCCAATCATGTCTTTTGACATTTCCCAGACGTCATAACTGAGAATGATCTTATCATCTTTTGACATCTGAGACATAAGTGTGTCAGGTCTATTGCACGGTTTCAAAGTTCTTTGTTGAATGTATGCAACATATTTCTATTTATGGCTTATTCTGATGTGTATGCTTACATTGTATTGAAATTTGGTAATGTCATTCTTAGCCCTCTCATAACTTTTAAATCGAAGTACTGCAGAAACAAGGAACAGCAAGGCAAATCTGAGGGGAAGGCTAGTGTGTGAGAGGGAAGAAAAGCTGAGGCGAATGGATTCATTACTTTAGTGTATTACCATTTTGTATAACTACCTTAGATATGACCTGAGTGTAGCTTCACTTCTTTTGAATTCTTATAAATGAAAAATAAAAGTGTGTCCTAATGTATTTTTGCTGAGAACATTCCATTTTATTCCTTTCAGAGAGGTAATTGGTCCCTTACTTGGTGGGGCTCTTATGGATAAATATGGTTTCCCATTGTGCTCAACAGTCATGGCTGGATTGTGCTTCTTATTGGTAAGTTTGTTATTATTTATTGAGCATCCCTCTTTGAAATGTATATAAACAAAAAAAAGACATTTCAGGTTTTAAAATAGTTATTTTGATGAGACGTTCTTCAAGAGCTCAATGTGAAAAATATGTAATAACTTGAATATTCAAAATAATAACATATATGAATACAGATTCTTTTTTGATATTATTTCTGATTAATTGTTTTCTTTCTCATTCTTGCAAAATATGTAGGTTTATTAATTTTTATGTCTTTTGATTATGTTGCAAATTGAGCTTAAGTTATTTTAAGATTGCTCTTGAAATTCTTAAAAATTATCTTCGATGATAATGTGTGAAAATCTGAAAACAATTAGTAATTCAGAGGTGTATTTGTGATGCAGTCTTTTGAAAATTGTTTTGTCACTCAGCTCTTGCAAGAGACGCTGTTCTATAACTTCTGCCTTTAATTATATCATGAGTTTGTGATTCATTGTTCATTACTCGAGTATATGCAGCAGGTTCATGATTGATATGATTGTTTATTACTTGATCATGTGATGATGAGAACATCAACATTTCAGGCAAAGACATGCTTTGTATCTCAGGTTTGATATCAGGATATTTTTCTCTCCTACAAATAAGAAATTATGCATGAGTATTATGCTGAATCCTTAAAAGAAGTACATCTTTCTAATAATGTTCTTCAGTGTTTCATAAAAACCAAACATACAGAGTAGGTGCAGTGTAATGGGCAATATTATGTAAAGACGTTTTTTGTAATAGTTAATAAAAGTGAAATTCCTTCTTAAATATTTCAAAGGGGTCTCTTGGAGATGAATCTATTACAAAAGGCAATTTACTTACTGTTTGATATTTTTTGTATTTGAAATAGTGTTTGAAAGTATTCATCATATTATCTCTTGTGATTTTAGTCTGTGATAACACTCCTGTACTTCTCCACACAAAATTCTCGCACATGTGCTGGCAAGGAATCCAGTACAACGGACAGTGGTATAAGTGACACAACAGGTTCCTGGGATCAGGCAGATGAAGCTGGAAATGGAAGTATTTCCTCTCCAGGCCAACAGGGCAGCTTTGATGCTGAGGACAGTCCATTGCTTGGAGCCATGGCCGATCAAGCAAACATGTACACTCATGAAAAGGTTTACCACTGCCCACCTGACATGTCTTCTTATGATGGATGGGCAGGAGCAAGTCCTGGGTGGCTTAATGATGTACGTCGCACTGTTGCTATTACTGGTGGTGGTGCATGTGAAGTCTAGGTAGTACATGCTTGATTTTTACAATTATATATTGTAATTACCATAAGGAAAGATTTGATTGCTGAATAGGAGAGGTAGTCATAATGAAAAGATGAAGTTCCTGAGAAATTAAGGTATTTGTATTAGAAAGACCCATTTTTGTGTTTTTGAAGGACAAAACTAATTTAGTACCTGGAAAAAAATATTTATTCAGAAGAAAAATGAAATTTTCGTGGTTGTCTTGTAAGCTTCTCAACTTGATTGCGTATTATATGCTTGAAATAAATGTAAACTCTTATGAATCTGTTTAAGGTTTCTTAAATATTATGTAATGCTGTGAAATATTTCTGTTGAAACATTTGCAGAGAGAGTTTAATTTATTAATTTTCATTGCATTGCCATCATGTCAGAGAGATGAGTACATGTTGACTGCATTTTATTTACATGATGATACTCAGAAAAGAGCCAAGGTAGATTTTGACAATAAAAGACAATGTGTTGTTGCAATCAAATTTAAGAGCAGCATCAGTACTCTTATTTCATAAATTTATGAATAGCTTAATTTTCCTTTTAAAGCCTACTTTGTAAGAATGCTAAACTACTAATTTTGTTTTATCTGGTGCACGAATGTGAAAAGAGAATGTTTAGGCATGATGCTGCGTATATTAATTGTGGTATCACTTCGTGTGCTCGAACAGTTTTTTAACATGGTTCATTCAGAACTGTATGTGATACCTGTCTTTGTAAGACTGATAGTGAAGCACACATTGAAGTTTATTATATTTTGGCAGGCAGTAAAAAAGGAAATTTGTTACCATTTTGTATATTTTACTTAAGTTTTTTATTTTAATATTTTGATTTCCTATCGTTGAGAATTATTCTAGTTACTTGAAGAAACTTAGAGTTGTAATTATAAACTCTCAAATAAAAAGAGTAGATTATATACATCAGAACAAAATCTAAAATTACAGATTCAGGATTAAAATTGCTTTCAAATTTTAAAGATTAAACAATTGAAAGGACATTACAAAACTGATTGCTTAATCATTATGATAACAAAGTTATCCACATATTTGAAAGCAATATGTAATTCACTTGTCTTTAAGCTGAAAATTAATTGGAACTTTTTGGATTTCAGAAAAATTTAGCAGGTTTTGTTGAAATTGCACAATATGTTCATAATTCTACAATTTCAGTTATCCCTAGACGTTTCCCTTATGTTTTTGATGAATTCCTCTAATCTATGGTTTTCTTATTGTTTACACTAAGTCTTAATTAAGTAAATTAAGACTTTTTATGCTGAATTGCATATCCTCTATTCTCTTTATTACTAAGTAATGATTATTGTTCCATGAGTTTTCTTCAGTATGAGTTTTGAAGTATGAATATGAAAAATATATATCGATTGTTTCTTAGAATCACAAATTTAATCTTGACAGAAAATTTTGAACAACTTATGTGTTATTTCATTGCTCTTTTAAAGATGATCAGATTGCTGTGATGCTTTCCCAGGATATGCGTGATAAACATCCACTAGGGAATAGAACACAATTATTTTTTGTATTTAATCATATTATTAATGTGTACTGAAAACTCCACATAAGGTTTGTTTTGGGACCTCCTGACAGTAAAGATAGTGGTGCATTATTACATGATTTTACGATATTTTTAGGGCAATTTTGCATGTGTTTACAGTCTGCACAAAATTAACTTCAGTAACTTGTTGCCTTTTCCCTATGACAAGTTTGCTAGCAGCACATTGGCCAATTGCAAGGGTTTAGTAATATAACTAAATATTGAAGGTATAATTGTGATGTGCTGTATGCTAACATTTATAAAAGTTATTAACAACTACATTTTGAAGCCGTAAAATTACTATCTTCAAGCCCAAATTGCTTGTATCAATAATTGCTTTACTGGAACTTTTGTTGTCAATAGTTTTAGATCGTTTTGGTAATAAATCACATATATGTAGAATGCATGAGGAATGATAATAGAATTCAGGTTTTATCTAGTCATATTTCTGAACAGAGATAACATATATTAGATTAATTATATGGCAGTTTGGAAAAGAGGTTGTGAGTTAAGCATAGTATATTCAACATCTTTCCTAATGTATTGGATCCCAAACATTCCATTGTCATAAATGGCTGTGATTTTTCTCATGCGCCTTTAGAAATATAGATGGCCAGAAAGTTTCAGTAAATTGATAACATGTGGCAAGAATATTTTTGTGTATTCCTAGCTGCTTTATTTTCTCTTTCTCTCATATTTGAAAATTGTGTGTTGAAGTGTCCAATATTGTTTTCATGAAATCAAGTGCTGATAATTAAGTAATTAGAGAAACTTAGTGATACTACATATTATGTCTGCCACTTTTTTATGCCTGCAATTTTAAGAGAACATGAATGTTCTAGATAACGTTTTGCCATTTTCCATTGATGTAGATATAAGCAGTGTATTTTATACAGTATGGTGTACAATTTTATTGTAGTTTCTTAATAGTCATGTTTATCTTGTGCAGGAGGTGTAGTGTAAAGTGCACAATATGTGCACTCCTATATTATTTTTTTGAAGATGCTGACTGTTTTATAAGTAGTTGATTATTGATAAGTTAGACACTTTTTATGAATATTTTGAGGTGTGTTTTTAAATTATAGATAACTTTTATTTTCATGATTATTTATGTAAACTAGTAATTGAAACTTTCATTGATTATTTTGTACAAGTGAGATTAGAACTTAATGACCTTCATTTTTTATAATTAGGAAAAAAATATGCCATGGCTTTATGCTTGCCAACATCAATATTTTTGTCTAGAATTTAAGTTTGATTTATTCCTAATATAAAATGCTTATATTGTTTACGTGAGAGAGGTGACATACTTCTAAGTATATTTTACTTGGAGGTTATTTAGAAATTGTACAACCTTTTTTAATGAACTTGCTTAGGAAACAAAACTAGAAATGCAAATTAGAGGTAAATACTCATAAATAACTGTGACGTAAGTGCTTGATGCATATTTTCTAAATCAAAATTTCGTGTTGTAATTAGCTATTTTAAAACTTATGTTTTCTAACAGATTACAGTTAAGGAAATTTTATTTTCTGACTTTACAATAAAAATGTAAACAAAATAATTCTTCTTCTAATGACATGCATCGTCTATGTAGAGGTGACGTATTTATTTAGAATTTTACTCTTTAGATCTAAGTGATCCATGTACATTTACATCTTATTTGTAGTAACAACAATAAAAATAATTATGGGAAGAATTTGTTTTACAACTGATAACATAGAGTAGAAGCCTGATGAGTACAGATATCAGACGATAAGTTCCGATCCAAATTATAACTGATCACTTATGTTTTCAAATTAATATGTAGATTGTCAAATGATTTGGTACCTGGAAAAATAAAAATGAACTTTGTACACTATTCTGAAATTCTGAGTTATAAATACACACTCTCTTTCAGTATATGCAGTCTTTCTTATCATTTCTGGAATAATAAATCTTTGTAGAGCTCTAATTATTGTCAAGACTTATTGAAATTAATTTAGTTTGTTTTTTTGTAATTAAGATGGCCAGAAAATTTAGTACTAAGTATAATATATTATTATTATGTTCCATGTATTACTCCTTCTAAAGTCCCTTAAAATGGACCTTTAAAAACACAAAAGAGAAAGTGATTCTTCTACCAAGAGTTATCGTGTACCTAATAATCCAGCAAAATTTCTGCATGGTTATTTTATTCAAAATGTTAAAATTAGAATTTAGGTTCTATCAAAGGATGTATTTGCTTCCATTTTGCAACTACTATGTATCAAACTGCATTTTTTGTCAGGCTTCTACTGTAAATTAAATTACAGAAACATTCAAGTTTTTGTTTTGCTGGCAAAAGAACTCTGGTACATTCACTTTAAAATCATATTTTAGGCAAGTCACATGTATGCAAATTATGGAGAGTTGATTGTAGTACATTCAAATCTAGTTAATTTAGAACTTTTTAAAAAGGAAGTGCATTTCTCCTGTCACAACATTGTCCATAGACTAGAAGAATAGTATTCTTGAAAATTGATAGTAAAACTATTCTGTATTTATTTCTAAGATTAGTGTTTGAGAAAAAATAATTTGCAATGGAGGCATTCTCTTTTACATTTGTTAAAACTCCTTTAGTTGATAATAAAATGTTATTGTTAATTAATAAACCAATGTTGCCATTTCAATCTTTGTTGTCTTTTGTAATCCAGTTCCTCTAACTTTTATGAAGCTTTGCAGAACACCAGGAATGTTTTCAGCTCCTGAGAAATAAAATTACTACCAACACAAGTTGTCTAAAAACATGTATGTATGGAACTCACTTTATTGCAATGAAAGAAAAGTATAATTTAACCGTATTTTATAATACTAAAGTACTAATAAAGTTCTACTTCTTATGGTACTGCAAATTGAACATGGTATCATTGTTTTGTTTTCAGAATGCAGGTTTGTGAAATGTTCACAAAATATTGTTGGTAAAACCTGTGTATTTACTGTTTCGCTCTCTTATGAATTTTCAATGGCACTAGGTTCTTGACAATTTTAAATAATATAAAACAAGAATAAGCTTTTAGGGGCTCTTTTATTTACTGTTTTCAGAATTGCTTTCCTCTGAAGCACTTTTTAAAATTTATTCCAAAACGTCAATAATTTGAAGGATTGTAATTTGTGAAAACAATTTTAGAAACGTCAAAACATTCACCAACTACTAAATGGGAGTATTTGGTCCCGTACAAAACTACTGAAGTTTTAAATCTTTACAAAAGAAAACTTCGATTTTCATTGAAGTTGAGTTAAAATTCTGAGTTTCATAAGCAATTTTACCAGTTCAAATTTTATCACAGCTATAAATTTCAAAATAAAAGTTGATTAAAATGCTATCTATGAATTGTGACATATTTAACATCTATTTCCTTCAAAGAGGAGTATTTTACACTTTGTACAATACATGTTGACAAAAGATACTTATTAGTGGTAATATGGAGGGAAATATTTTGAAGTAACATTTAATCTATATATTCTAATAAATATGTCAACACATACACAAAAAAGGCAACTTTCACCTTGTAGATAAAAATATAAAAAATATGAATTGAGGAATAAAAACATGATTACAATCATAAATGTATGGTGATCACAGCAATATTTAAAACTTTAACATAATAAATGTAAATTCATTTCCATTTCCATTTGAAGTATTTGTACAGAATGAGTCACAACAAATCCTAAGTTAGCTAGGATTCATTAAAGACAATTATTGATTGCTACTATTCTATTTGTAAACTAATAGGAAAATAAGTTGATGACTAGAACAGTGGTTGGTAATATCTGATTATGCTAAGTGGAAGGGAACAATAATATTATGTTCTGCTTGGATAATTCTTGTGAAACGATACCTTGATCTCAATTATTTTTTTTCCCCCAAGTTTCACTTATCTAAATATACTCACAACTAACATTCTCTTAGAGTAGATATTTGCTATTAATCATCAATGTAAAATATATATGTATATATTTTCAGGCACGTGTCAAAATTGGAAGTTTCTAAGGATATCTTCACTTCTCTTATTTCAGGCACAATCTATACTCTTTTGATATTTATAGAGTAATAAAAAACAGTCTGTGTCTACTGCAGTAACTTATGCAAGATCATACTGCAAACATGTAAAGCCTATCCTTGTATAATAATGAAGTTTTACTATGGTCCACAACCATGATCTATAAAGGATATTTTTCAAATCTTTTGTAATAGTAATTATTTTCAATGTATTTCATTTATTGCCGTCATGGCAGTTTGAAATATTTTCATTTTAGAAAATAAGTGCAGTAAGACAAGTACTTTAAATTTCCAGAATGGAATTTGTTTTGTTCCTCCTGAATTTTCCACAAGCAATTAGATTTCTTAAGGTTTATCTCCTCCTAAAGCTGCCTGAATTTCTGTTTTTGTTTTACCTTTTGTTTCTGGAACAAACAGAGCTACAAAAATTGTTCCACATATACAAAAAACACTCAATGTTGCATAAGTAATATCTTGACCAGCATACTTTAGCATTAGAGGAAACTCTTTTGTGAGGCCAAGTGCTATTTTCCAATTGAAGGATACTGTCATAGCACTTGCCCAACCTTTTGCTTTCATAGGCAGCAATTCAGCCATCATGAACCATGGCAGAGGACCAAATCCCAGAGCATAAACAATCACAAACACATTCAAAACAACGAGGGGAACCCACCTCCACGAATCAACATCAAATCCATTGTTATTAAAATATGAATAAATTGAAAAACATGCGAGGCACAGTGCCATCACCACAGATGACAGAAGGAGAAGGAATCTTCTACCCAAATGATCAACAGTAAAAGACGAGCATAGGGTTGCAACAACTTGAACAGCTCCCATAACTACAGTTGACATGTTCCCTGGCAAGCTACTGCCAGCATCATTAAAGATTTGAACAGTATATGATTCCACAGCAGTAATTCCACTCATCTGTTGGAAAAACATTAATCCAAGAATAATAGCAACTGCCCTGGCAGTTGTAGACCTGAATGGTCTTTTGGAGCAGAAAATTAGGAAAGACTTGCGTACTTTCTCATCAGAACGATCTTTAATGAAAGCCAACATGCCATCAAATTCTGGTTGAATATCATCCTCTCTACTACTATTTCTGAGCCACAGTAGGGACTTTTTGGCAGCTTCCATCTTACCAATGCTAGCAAGGAAGACTGGAGACTCAGGCATCCACATAAAGGAGATAACAAATACAAATGGAAGAAGGCATGCTATGATGGTGTACCAAAAATAAGGAAGTAATGCTCCTAAAGTATATATACAAAGCAACCCTATGCAGATCATGAAGCCGAGGTACGCTCCCAGGGCACCTCTGATGGCATCTTCGGCAATTTCTTCGCAGTAGAGGGGTACAAGAACAGTGCTGGCCCCAACACCCAAGCCAGTGAAAAATCGACCAGCATACACAGTCCAAACCTAAACCAAAACATTTGTTTCAACGAAATGACACTTTAATCCGTCATTCAAATACGAAATTAACACACATAAGTACCCACCGAATCGCCGGCAAAAATGATGAGCATCCAACCGAAAATAAAGGGCACCGCGACGGAGAGGAGTACTCTCTTACGGCCCAAGAGGTCGGCGAGGTAGCCCACCGGGATGGCGCCGAGCAGAGCTCCCAAGGGCATGAAGGCGGTCATCCAAGAGGCCTGTCCGTCGGAGAGGCAGAGCGGAAGCGAGCAATTGCTCTCCCGCTGCAGGACGGGCAGCGCGGGGGCCGTCCAGCCCATCACGACCCCCGTGCAAATCGCGGCGAAGTTGGCTGCAACAAACGTCACCACAGGCTCTATCAAACACTTCAACGAATAATTTTCTTACAAGTTGACTAGCCGTCAATCGCGAATTACCTAAGATTGCTGCCAAGTGCTGTCTCGATCTCGAATTGACAGTTTGTACCTTGATGTCGTCGTGGATATTTGTGAGGAATAACTCCACCTCGGCGGTTTTTGTCGGCATTTCGTTCATAATGACGGCTGGAAAATGACGGATGTGCGAGGTTTAATGACTTCCACTCACAAGTTGCCAAAACGTTTACGTTGTTTCACGAGAGGCTGCTAACTCGCGCAGAAGTTACGCCGGCCCCCATATCGACTGCGACCCGCACGCATCCCGCACGTGTTGCGCAGGACTGGAACCTGTCAAACGGCGCTGCTCGCAACCCTTGAGCACCACATATCCCCAAATGTCTCCCTGCCGTGACGCGGCGGCGGCGGCGGCCTCCTCTCTATTTATATCGGAGCGAATTCGTTGCCGCCTGGCCCTAATCGCCGCGTGCTCTGACATCGACGGCGATTAAGTTTTAATGAACCAGCAGCATTCGATGTGGCGCAACCGAGCGGTCCCGCGCCAGCCTATTTGCTGTTTTTATTTCTAATGACGAATGTGTTCGGGGGTATGGATTTCGGCGCTTGGTAGCCATCAAGCCGATACTAATCTACATAAAGCTTAAGCTCCTGTTGTAAATACTTGTGTGTCTCCTAACCAACATTTCCCGAAGTAATATACCTCTACTCCGTTGTTCAAACATTTCACTTGGGCCTAAGAATTTGTTAGCTGAGTATACTAGTTTTGAAAATACTAACAGGAAACATAGAGCCCATGTTGTAACATGTTCCGTGTTGACCTATATTTTCATCTTTGGTCAGTTTTAATCCTCCTGAATTCCTGACATTTTTCTGGGATTGACATTTTTGCTTAACTGGCAGGCTATCAACGGTTTATACACAGTACTTCACAACTATAAATTTAAAAACTCGTGTTACTAAGAACAAAAGGTTTTCGTGTTTACTTATGCACTTTTACAGGAAACTTCTTTTGTCACGGATAATTCGGAAGATTAAATAATTACGAACCTGTTTAATTTTGAAGTGGATAGCGTTGGGAACTTATTTATACAATTGTTTCTAGCTTTCCTTCATGCCAAAAAATGCCTTGAGACTGGATGATGCGTACTGTTGTTCTACACGTCACGAACTTGACGTGCTGAAAATACATATGTAAAAAAAGAAGTACCTATTTTTAGAAAATGTGTAACCAGAAAATAAGTTGATTTTTCTAATGAGTGGTAGTAGCATGCATTATAGTTTTGATTGATAGTGCTTATAAGAAAATTAATATTACTTGAACATACTTGAATTGAAATAATGAACCTGAACATCAATTTGTTTGGAAATAATTCTCTTGTGAAACAATAGAAATTAATTTCGTTTTCAATATAAAGAAGAAATTTCAGAGGAAACTACGTTGGGAATTTTAATAGAAATATCAGCATTGTTTTGTAAGTCAAGCTACATAAATGAGACAAAAAAAATTGGTATGTGAAATAAAAATATGTTCATTATATTACAAAAGTATTCAAAGAAATTACTTGTGATTTTATGAATGTAGGTAACACTCCATGTCAGAATTTTTACGTTATTTAAACAATGACTGTGGTCGGACAGATTTTGCTTCCACTGAGCTCAGGCAAAGAATATCTTCGGAGACGTTTGATATAAAAAGTGCCATAAGATCTATTATCATTAGTTTGGCAAATCCTGGGAGCGGAAACAAGGGAAAACGGAGTTTATTTAATAACATAGAGTTAATCTAATTTTAGTTGAAATGAAACAAAATAAAAATTTCGTGTGAATCTATTTTTTTTTTTTCTTTTTCGTAAAAGGAATGCCGAACAATGTGTAATTCATATTCCTTTTCATTGATGTATGGTTTGAAGATTTGTTTCAAATATTCACTCAGAACAAAATTGCGTAGTTCCAAGACAACTGAAGTATTGTCCTAAAGCTCGTTTGTTATGTTGCTTTATTGCGCATGTTGCAAGAGTCTGTGCTCGTCCGACACCACTGTGGCCGGTAAAGAGGTACAGCGAGGCATAGTGTTTTTGATAACTCACGGAGTGTCAGGAGGTGAAATTCATGGCAGAATGGTGTGTTGTGTGAGATTAACACAATGGAAATTTTGCAAAAAGCGCGTCCTCAAGTCTAAACACCCAAGAATGTTGACAGACGGCATCATTCTGTTGCACGATACTTTCACCCACATGCTTCCAAGGTTATTTCGATTACTCTGCAGAAGTTCCGTTGGGAAGCTCAAGCATCCTTCATATAATCCAGATCTATCTCAATGCAATTTTCGAATTTTTGGAACCCTTAAGATATTAATGGCCATCGATTTTCTTCGGATGAATAGGTACTCGCCTGGGTACAATTATTGTTCCGTAGGAACTGCAAACATGCTTCTATGAAGGCTTTGGCCATCTTGTCTCAGTTGGATAAATTCATAAATAGTTATGGCAGTCACTTTTAAAATAATAAATAGCTTATTTACTCCCCCCTCCCCCATCTGTCTCTTTTTTTATTTTACTGACCCTCATAGTATGTAGCATTCACGAATGAAGAAAAAAAAAAACTGGCTACTCTACAATTATGTTAATCAACGTCAGTGCCTAAAGTTTGGTTAGCGCACTCAGACGGATGCTGTGTATTATGTTACGCTTTACCCTAGTATACATGATGTAACGCGCAATGTGCCTCTTACGTCATAGTTTACTTAGACGCGGTTTATCATTTTTCCTTAGCGTGTATGCCAGCGTTTTTCGTCACATTATTTTTTTTCACACTTTTCGTGTTGGGTCGTTCTGGAGATTATTAAGGTACATTTTCAATTTTGGGAGGGATTTTTACATGAAGCTCCTGAGAGATTTTCAAAAATTTCTGGAAAAAGGCTGAATTTTTTTCTGGAGTAAAAGATAATATGTGTATAATAAAAATGGCATTATTACAATTTCCATTAAAACATCAAAATTAGAAAATTGTAAAGTTAATTTTCGAACCTGTCATACACCTCCAATATTAAAGCCAGAGATTTCTTTCTCAATGCGATGTATTCCTCAATTTCAGATCTTTAAATTATATCTTGCACTTAAAAAAATAGTTTTGGGCTAGTATCTAATGACACTAAGAGGAGGAAAAGTTTCGGTATGCTGGAACTAGTTTGTATAATCTAGATCTCCCCTGAAAACCAAGAATTATTCCAGCCTTAATTTAATTGCAATTAGTCAATAAATAAACATATTGTAGACATTGGAAACTAAAATCTTTAACTTCAAAGGATAGTTTCTAGAAATTATTTCAGGGGTTAGGCATTTTTAGTTCAGATTCATAAATATTTTTGAAATATGTTTTTAATTGTTATCTATCAATTTGTAGCAAATATTTTGAATTAACGAAGTAAATTTTAAAAAAATGTCGGCTTAGGAAGGCGGAGGAGAGGAAGTTTACCCTCACCCCCACCCCCACCCCTTAGATCCAACACGGGAAACGAATAAATCAACACCCTGGCTGCGGCTGATGGGTGTCATCATATACTCACAGATTTAGAGGGCTAAGCGCAGTGAGCTTTGTGTCCTATTATTGCAATGTCATCTGAAAGAAACATGGTATTTAAACTCAATAAACACTCGACCGCTCGCGTAGCAAGTTTCCTGAGACCTCGTTGTTCGGGCGACTCAGTCCTAGAGTTACTTCACAAGATTGAAACCTCGGAATTTCTTCTTTAAAAATGACGCCGAGGGTTCTGTTGTAATATTTGACGCATTCAGTATCAATATTCACGCACGTTCATAAAGCTGACTAAAACACTGTAGCACAACTCATCAAATAGTACCCATTCAAATGCTTGTTAATTACTCTTCTTTTTGCTCGTTAATTAAAAAATAATGATTTAGCGATGCGAATATTTTCTCTTTATTGTTTGAAAAAAAATAAAAATTAGTAAAAAAAATATTGATATTTGTGACCTTATAATTATTTCATAAAAGTTTTTGTAGAACATTTATTTTTCAATTTTGTTTCAGCGGGCTTTATATATTATATAATATGGCTTTCGATATTTGGAAGCATTTGAGGGGTTTCTGTAGGAGGCAAATCTAATTGGCAACCTTTTAATGGTAGATTCCCAAGTTTCTTTATATTTTTGCTACGAAATAATCTTTTATTCTGTAGGTAACATACAATGCATACAATCATACATACATTGTACATAACATACAATGAACAACTTCATATTTTTGGAATATTATTTTTATTATATTATATTTTAAATATTTTTCATAGTTTTTGGAATATTTAAGAATTTGTCTCGTATTTCATTCAATTTTTTTAAATAAATTTGTTATGATTTCATATACTAGGTTACATAATGACGTGTGAAAACGAGCTAAATACAATTAGTTCCTTATTTTTCGGGAACTCAAATTAACTCGTTGACTCTATATTCGCAAATTACAAATGCCCAGATACAAATTTAAATAACAGCGTTTCAAAATAAAATTTAAAACGTTGAAAATATAAGATAGATTTAAAATGTGCAAATCAATTACTTTGGCCCTTTTTTCTTTCACGTATTTTATTTTTCGAAACAGTTAAAAGTCATAAATAAACAAAAAATAATTTAAATTATCGAAAAATAGAGTCAACGAGTTTGCCTAAAGCACAACGAATGTTGCATTTTACACCTCAGAAAAACTGCGAAGTTTTTCAATTTTTATATCCCTAATACTTAAATATAGATATGAAAATGATAATAATAATTGTTATTAGATATTATTATAAGAATATTCTTCGTTCATTCACATTAATGTGACCTCCCGTCAAAATCTTGAATAACCCCCTTTTGCAGCACTGACCGCTGCGAGACGTGCAGGAGGAGAGTCAAGTAGGTTCTAGTTGGCACCGACAGGAATGTCGAGCAATGACCACTCCAGGACCGTCATCAGCTTCGCTTGGTTCTTCGGTTGCGGATGCGTTACACGAACACCCCAATCTAGGTGGTCCCACAGATTCTCGTTTGGGTTTAAATCGGGGGAGTTTGGTGGCCAGAGAAATACTGTAAACTCATCGTGGTGCTCGTCGAAACACGCATGTACACTGCGAGCTGTATGACACGTTGCATTGTCCTGCTGGTAGACGCCTCCTTGCTGAGAAAAAAACGATATCTGCTTGTAAGGGTGGTCACGGTCCCCAAGGATGGCTGCATACTTGTGTTGATCCATCGTGTCTTCCAACATGGTATTACCCGGGGAATTCCCCGCGCCATCACGCTCCTTCCTCCGGCCTGGACCCGTCCGGCGATTGGTGGAGGGTGTTTGCATTCAGACGTTCCACGCCATATATGCCAACGACCATTATCCGATGGAGCAGAAAACGTGATTCATCTGAAAAGGCCACCTGTCGCCACTCAGTGAACGTGCAATTGCGGTATTGGCGTGCAAATTGTGTGAAAATGTGATTCATCTG